GAGATGGAGCTTCAAAATCTTATCCTCCAAGAGGAAACTTGATTTCACTCTCTCCAAGACAGACGTATTTGTTTTCTTGGTGGTCCATGGCATGTTCAGGAATCTTCTCCAGCACCACAGTGTGAAGGAATCAATTCTTTATCTGTTATCCTTAGTCGTTCTTAAGCTCTCTGATGCATAGCAAGTAATTATGAAGACCTTGGTCTGGATCAGGTGCACCTAAGGCTCTAGTCTGACATCGTTGCTTTTCAGTACTCTGGAAAGGTCCCCAACCTCAAATTTTCCCAATGCAGTTCATCTTTTGATTTCTTGACTGCTGGTGCCAAAAGTGTTGGGAAAAGTGTGAAGCTGACCAAGCTGTAACTGTGAACAACCTCAGTCTCTCTCCAGCCATCATGGTGCTGCCAGTCAGCCCAGTGGTGAGAATCTTTGTCTTCTTGATGTTGAGTTTCAATCCATATTGAAGACTACCATTCTTGACCTTTTGCAGCAAGTGCTTCACGCCTTCTTCAGTCTCAGCAAGCAAGGTTGTGTCGTCTGCATGTCATAGGTTCTTGATGAGTCTTGCTCCAGTCCTGATGCCAAATTCCTCCTCATAAAGCCCAGCCTCCTGAATAATCTGTTCTGCATCCTTCTCCCATGGAACTTGAACCACGTGCCTTCTGGATTACAACACAGCTTCTTGCCACGAAGCCACCAGAGCTCCCTGTTGTACTGATAGAAACTATTTTTCTTATTAGATCTTTCATGGCAGGGTTAAAGAAACACAAATTTATATGTAATGTGTATAAAATGAGGACAGCAGGAAGAGACTTGATTGTTCCGTATTTGTCTGGTCTCCTGTGACACTCCGCTGTGCTGATTGTCTTACTTTACTGGGAAGATGAAGACCTTTTTCTCCCAGGACAATGTTATATATATATATATTAACTCTGCTCTCAGAACATACAGCCACATACACAGCTCTGAAAGGTGTTCGCTTGCTCACTGCCCCAGAAACATACTGCTGATACTTACGGGACAAAGATTCACCTGCAAGGCTGTTTGTTAGCAGGTGCAGCAACTGTATGTACAGTAAAGGCTTCCTAAGTTAGGAGCTTCTTAGTCTGCTCACCTCTTCAGATCATGTCCAAAGAGAGGCAAACTGACACACAGGGGCCAGAGACCTCAGAGAACGGAGGTTGATAAAAAGATCCAAAGGGGGGGTGGGGGGAGAGACCTCAGAGACAGGGGTTGATGAAAAGATCCAAAGAGGGATGGTTTTGTTCCGGAACTTTTCAGGCATCGATTTCGTATACCTGGATGTAGGTGTGTAGTGTTAAGCATCTTAGTAGAAGATCGAGAAGGATTCAGGGCGTGAGTTTTAACATTGAACACTGGCTAGTTCTGAAACTAAAGACAAAATGGTGTAAGCTTTTTGAGATTCCAAACCTTTAAAAGTGAAGGTTAGATTAGAACAATGACTTTAACCTTTTGAGTCCTTTTAAAAGCGTGCCATTCAATGTTTTCCCTTTTTAGAGTTTTGATAAATTAGAAAGAAGACAGAGGGAGAAGAAGGAGGAGAGAGGGAACTTTGATGGCCTGGCGGTAAGGAGCTGTGCTGCCAACACAAAAGTGTGTGGTTCGAATCCACCAGCTGTTCTGCGGGAGATAGATGGGCAGTCTCCTCCCGTGAAATTTACAGCCTCTGAAAACCCACCAGAGGATCAGTTATGAATTGACCTTGATTCCACAGCAGATAAAAACCAGCAATAACAATGTATATAAGATAGATAGATAGATAGATAGATAGATAGATAGATAGATAGATAGAATATGTTGCTGTTAGTTGGTGCCCTCCAGTCAATTTCAGCTCAGCCACAACTGTGTAAAAAAATAGCGGCTTGTGACCTGGCCCTCACACTCACAGTGACCACTGTCTGCGGCATTGCTGCCACTGTGTCCGTCCACCATATGAGCGCCTTCTTTCTGCTGTCTCACTACTTTGCCAAGAAGAATGACCTTTTCCAGAGATTAATCCCTCCTGTTAACATTTCCAAAGTACATGAGATTACGTCATCCCTGACTCCAGAAGAGGGTTCTGGCTGTACTCTGTCCAAGACTGAATGGTCTGTTCTCTGGCAGTCCACGGTATATTCAGTATTCCTTGCCAGTACTTCAAATGCATAAATCCCTGGAAGTCTTTCATTCTTTATTTCATCATCGTGTAGTAATGTGTAGGATGTTGTGAGGTTAGAAATTATGTCTCCAGCATTTAAAGCACTAGCACGGCCACCCATGGCGGACAAATTTTAGTAGAGTTCCCAGATCAAGAGAGTTTAGTAGAACTTGGTGATCTCTTCTTTATAAAATGACCAGTGGAAACCTTGTGAGCAGTATAGATCCATGTGTTCAAATACATAGGAAGAAAGATTTTGAAGAACTGACTCACGAAACTGTGGTGATTAGCAAGGCCAGATCCACATGGAGGTCAAATGTTAGGCTGGAATTTTGGGCAGTCTTGTGTCCCAGGAGTGACCAAGCAGTAGAAGTAGACAGGAATTCTGTTGGGCTGTCTGTCTTTTTATGTAGGTACTCTGGAGGCAGAGTTCCCTCTCCACAAGTTTCCAATTTTGCTCTTCAATTAATTGGCTAATGTCAAGTTGGAGGAGATTAAATAATTGAGCCATATGTGAGTACCTTCTAGATAGACTGTAGCCTAATGTTTCATCACACAAGTAAACCCCGTAGCCTACCAGCTTGATCTGTAAATTGAACCATCATACCAGCTCTTCAGAAAATATTTCAACTTAAGAATGCTACCTACGTACAATGTCTAAAAGTTCTTTTCCAATTCAACATTCCTTGAAATTCGTTGAAAGAGGGAAAAAATCTTCACATCTTACTATTTGAGAACATATTTCATAGCAAACCTAACTAGATTGTAAGATTGAAGGTTGACACCCCAGCCCATTCCACCCCCATTCATTAAATCCTCGTTCTGTTTCTCAGACTCTGAAACAGCTAAGGAAAGGTCACGCCTGCAAAATGTGTCAAATCGGTTCCCTTTTTAGGGTTCCAATCCATTCCTTATTTTTAACCGTTTGTTGAGAAACTTCAGGCCTTTTCCTCTGACTGTGGAGAGCCTAAGGAAGAGAGAAAACTGAACCTCCTGTTCATTAATTGTTATTGTAATAACAGATCCAAACCTCACCTTGGCCGTTCAGCCCGCACCATCCCTGCCAAGTCCATTGTTCATTGTCCACTGAGTCACTGTCTGAATCTCTCTGCTCCGTCTTCCTCCTCTTCACTGATTCTCTGCTTTTCTGAGACACCGTGCTCTACCATTGAGCTACATCTCCAGACCCGATTCCCTGCTTTCTAAGTGTAAAGTCTTTCACCAAGGGCTGACCACTCCTGACAACATCTCAAATTGTATGAGGCAAAATTTCACCATCTTTACCTCAAAGAAGCCAAGACCAACTTGTTTGCTGTTTTGGTAAACTAGGGAATATTCAACACTCTTCACCAACACTACAACTCAAAGGCATCAATTCTTCTAAAAATAAGTTGTCCTTATTTACTGTCCATTTTCCACATGCAGAGTAGCAATTAAAAATACCAAGGATTGAGTTAAATGAACTTTCGTCAGTGAGATGGATTGATAGTCACTGCAGCCATGGGATCAAGCGTGCAGAGATGAAGAGGACGGTGCAGGACAGGACAGAGTTCAGTTTGTTGGTCTTAAGGTTGCTATGCGTCATACTCTCCTCAACAGCCCCTAGCAAGTTCAGTAGTGTTTAAACTTACAGTTTAGCTCTTTAACACTTTCAAGAGAACCTTGACAGCAGTGTTACCAATGCAACATGTCTTGATTTCTTGACTGCTGCTACTATGGTGTTATATTAGTAAGCTCAATAATTTAAACTTCTAATTGTGGAAAATGACCACAAATGGAATAGGAATGAATACATTAAAACATTTAGAGCAGTGGTTGATGGAGTCAATAATGTATTGATAAGGAATCGTTAATAAGCACTTAGTTACAAAGCGTGGACTAAGTTTGTTAGATTCTGTTACCTTGGTCATAATTGTTAGTCACTTCCCAGTCTAAGAAAAAAGGGGGAAATGTGCCTCCGAGTCCATTTTGCCATTGGAAACTCAACAACGGTTCAATGCTGTTGAGTCAGAACCAGCTCACGGCTGAGCCTCAAGTGAGTTTTCAGAAGTGGTGAATTGCATGGGAGGAGATTACTCATCGTTCAAACAGCGTTCCTTTGGGTTGTCAATGCAACTCCCTACCCAGATGTCCACTAAAGGTCCTATGCCATGGACTAGTGGGGTGTAGTTCACAAATTGTTTTCCGTCATTGCTTCTTGTTACGTTCCGCCCCCCATTGGTCAGAAAGAGTATAATACAAATACAGAAGCTTGATTTTCCCTTGCACATGCCAATCTATGATTAATTCAGATTGACCTGGGAAATGAAAGACAAAGTAAAAGCTGTAGCCACAAATTGATTACTCAGAGATGTTATTTCTTCTATGAACACCAGAGCATGCAAATAATATTTAAAATAAAATCTTTTCAATAAAGTTTTAAACATTTTTCAAGTATTTTTTAAAAAAAGGATTCCTTTGATTTTCCTAGTGAGGAGAACTTTATATACTTCATTTATTTCTTTGTTTTCTTATGACTCCCTAAAATGAAATATTCTTCAGAAGAGAAGTTGTGTGTTTGGGGAGCTTACTCCTTGGCAAATAGAAAAGTTGGGAAGTTGGGAATTTTCTCCTGTACAGATGGAAAAATTGGGAGGTTGGAGTTTCCTCCTGGGCAGATGGTGTGAAGCCGTGATGCGCATTTTCCTCTAGCGTTCACGGGGAGGAAAGGCACAACTCACAGAGACATGGGACTTGTTAAATTGTGTGCTTAATGGCATATAGGGACATCCTACATTAACAGGGAAACATTTGTATATGTTTGAAAAGAGCCTCCAAGACTTAGCCTTTCCTTTATTCACAGGGGTGATGGGCGAATATGAGCCGAAAATAGAAGTGCAGTTCCCTGAGACGGTGCCCACTGCCAGAGGATCCACGGCGAAGCTGGAATGTTTTGCCCTGGGGAAGTAAGTCGGCTTTGTCTTCCTCTCCCTCCTGTGAGCGCGGGCAGGTGGAGAATTCTCCATGCTGTACGCAGTGCTCACTGAGGCAGCTGAAAGCAAGTGGAGCCGTTCCGTTTGGGCTTCAGCTCGTGCCTCCTTGGTGTAGCCCTCTCTCCACAGAGAAGCAGGTGGGTAATGGCTCTCAGAGGACTAGCAGGCCTGGCCAAAGGAGAGAAGAATGGGCAATTCTAAAGAAATATGTTCTTCTATTATTATGACCTGTAATGGGCACGCTGTCTAAGATGGAATGACAGGAAAACAATGGCTTTAGTTTGAGCTTCATACAAGCAATTTGAAAAATAGGGGCTTTCATTCTGGGCCCAGTTTACTGAGGAGGCATCAAGCGTCCCTTGAATTTTTCTTTGAATTGCTGGCCTTTTCTCTCTACGTTGGGTTTCCCTGTGCCCTCGCTGCTCTGCAGTAATGGGAGATCTGAGCCTGGCAAAGGGAGTCTCCACTTTTTAGATTCTGAAAGTTGTCCCAGCCTTATAACATGGTGGGCTGATTATCCAGAAATAAGCCTTCTTGGGAACGAATTAACATGTCCAAAGAGCATATATCAGAGTGGATAAGGAGGGGAAAATATTCATTGATGGGGCCACTTTATTTGCTAGTAACGCGTGGAATCAAGTTCTAGTGGCCTAGCGTTAAGAAGCTGCATTGATCCCAAAGGCACATGGTTTGAGTCCATGCTGGAGAAGGATGGGCCGTCTCCTCGGATGCAATTTACTGCCTCTAAAAACCCACTGGAATGCCAGCTATGGGTCAGTTCTGACTTAATGCCACACAACAGCAGTGAAACGTTGGGCATTACAGTGTGAACTACCATCTAAAATAACCTAAATCCTCTGCCCCTAGATTTCCTATCCGACCTTTCAAGTTGCTGTTGTCTATTTAATTCCAAGGCCAACCTTTCTTTATAATTAAGCAATTATTTGGCTTTAAGAAAACATTGGGGATGTTTTTGTTTAGGGTTAAAGATTATTTCAGGGCAATAATTTAGGGGTTCCTCCAGCCTCTCAGGCTGTATGATTTCTTGATTCAATGAGAATTTTAAGTTCTGTTCTATGATTTCTCCCTTTTGGACAGAATTTTAATATAAATGTTACGTCTTAAATATTAAAGTTAAGAATGTCCATTTATAAGAAAAGATTCTCACCAACTATGTTTGTCTCTAGCTTAACAGATAGATAAAATCGGGGAATGAGGAATTTTCCTTTTCACTCACTGATTGCCATCAAGTTGGGACTATTCATAGCTGATCTCCAGTGGAATTTCAGGGACTGCCCTTTACACAGGAGGAGATGGCCCATCTTTCTCCCATGGAGCAGCTGATGGTTTCAAACCACCTGCCTTTGGGTTGATAGCACAACTCCTTGCACACTAGGCCACCACTTAGACCACTGTTTGGATAAAACATTTAAAACAAACAAACAAACACAAAAACACCCATTGATATTATCAGCATAAACTAAACTAGCCAGTTCAGTGTGTAAAATGGCATTAACATTGTCTGTTCTTTAAAACAAAGATCACACAGCCCTGATCACTAAGCCTGCTGTTGGTAGATGCCATCGAGTCAACTCACACTCTTGGTTACCCTGTCTACCATAGGGCACTTGAACCAAAAGAATGACCACCTGCCTTCTTAGTGCAGGTGACCCAGGGAGAAGGTGAGAGCGGGTACCTGCAGAGCAGGTTTGGTGAACTCTGCGGGGTTCACCTTGGAAGTGTCTCTGGAGAACCATGTTGCTCACACTTCACAGGGGTAGGAAGTTACACTCTGTGCACACTGCTTCGGTGGGACTAGACTAGACACACAGGAGCCGAACTGGACGTCTCCAGTCTGCACAGAACTGTCAGGGTGTGCACATCCCACTGCCGAAGCACATACTCCACTTCTGAGCAGGAAGGCTGTGTCTCAGCCTGTCACGTTGAGAGGCTTGGAGCGTGTAGATAGCATCCCATGTGGAAACACCCAGGTACTTCCTGATGGAGCCTCTAAGGACATTGAATTCTTACACGTTGATGGTTTTAATGTTTTAAATACCATCTCAGGTTTCCCCCAGAAGATTAGCAATTCTTTAGTCTAATTCTCTTTGTGGGTTGTTGGGGTTTTTTGTGAAAAATAAACAAGTAACTATACCCCCTGCTAGGAGGCTACAATCATCAAAGCAGTTCTTAGGCCACTAAAGCCATTGGTTTGCAGACTCACCGAAACCCTCCTTGCAATTGAAGACGTGTGCTACCATTTGCAGCCATGAGACAGTAGATGCCTTGAGAGAATATAAAGACCCCACATATGGTCTCCTCATTTATCTCAGATTTCAACTGGAATTTTCCTAAATATCTCTGGGTGTTGGGGAGTGGGGGACTTGCAGCTATCTGCCTTCCTAGTGGAGTAAGTGGGTAAGGTTCTAAAAAGAAATAGTAACAAAGAGGAGAATCATTCTGTTGTCCAAAATAATGCCCCTTCAGTAAGCCTCTGTGTCAGCAATTCCATTATCCCTCTCAGATTTCTTCCAACTCATTCATGACATTGTTTCTTAACAATGCAGCTACGTCTCGGTCACTGTTGGCAACAGGAAGGTCTACTACAGTCTGTTGGCTCTGTCACCCACTGCTGTCTAATAAGCTGAGTAGGGGGCAGGAGCCACCCTTCTCAGGCATCTCACCACCTGGCGGGAACGAAGCAGCACGGCTCTTTTCCTCCATGTGGCCTCAGTCCAGGCCATTGGTGGTCTTCAGGTTGTAGATGAGTTTCTCTGGAGGATCCACAAGAGTGTCCCTCGCATTTTTGCACACTCGTGGACATGCTACCAAGCTGGGCTCCCCGCAGTTGTCAACTGGAGAGGCGTATGGGGCTCCCTTCCGCCCTGTCTCTCAAAGTGGTCAGAATTCCTATAGGGGAGGTCCAGGAATCCCACAGAGAGCTTTTTCAAGAGGTATTGAAACAGATAAGGGAGAGAACTATTTTAAAGGAATATAGGATTAGGTATTATTTTCATGAATAATTAAAGTGGACTGTGGACCAGGAGGCATTGTATAACAATGAAAGAATTTTTTTTTCTTCAAAGAGAAAAATGAACTGGGGAGGAGGTGGTCAGGGAAGAAAATGTGCAACAATGAATGAATGGGGGAAAATTAAATGGAAAGAACATGCTGTAAAAAAATATGTATGTTGCATTAAGGGGGACAAAAGAAGCTGTCTCTTAGTGCAGTGTCACAGACTGATGCAACACCAAACCAGAGGAGAAACGAGCCCTTTTGCTTTGGAGTCGACTCCGCGCCCTGGGCACCCGTGTGCTGGAGAGGGCAACCGTGCTCCACAGGGACCATCTTTCCAGACAGGAAGCACCAGGCCTGCTCCGGGGCAACACTGAGCACTTCAGTGCACCCATCAGTGGGTCAGCCATGAGCACAGGCTGCCCATTCTGGGACCTGCCCAGCCTGCTCCTGCCTCCTCTCCTTAGCCTGGACAGCAGTCCCATGTCCAAGGAGAGGGGTTGTGGCTCCCACCTCAAGGATAGTACTGAGAGAGAATTTGCAGCGCTCTTTAATCTACCACATGTGTGGAGGAGTCCTTTTATTTTACTACATAGTAAAAAATATATATGTGTTAGGAAAAGGGTTGTATTAGAAAAATACGACACCATGTAAAATCTATTTTCACTTCAGTGAATATTCAGAGGTGATAGATTACATTTGTTAAGATTTAAAAGGATGACTTAACCTTAAGAAAAACACTAAGTAATCTTTGAACTATGCCTGTGGCTCCTAATAGTGGTGTATGAATCAATGAAGTTCAGAAATCACTGTGTAATACATCTTACGTTTTGGGGGGAAAAGGATGGAGTTGCACAGACTTCACTAATTTGATTTGCTCCTCTTTATTCTTGCTATCAGTCCAGTACCAACCATTTATTGGAGAAGAGCTGATGGAAAGCCCATCGCAACGAAAGCGAGAAGACACAAGTCAAACGCCACTCTGGAGATCCCCAATTTCCAGCAGGAGGATGCTGGGGTCTATGAGTGTGTGGCCGAGAACTCAAGAGGGAAAAATGTAGCAAAGGGACAGCTGACATTTTATGGTGAGTCTGTGATTCACATTGATCATTTACAGTGCGGCCTCCGTGTGAAGTTCTGGGTGTTAACACTAAATTGGGAGGTTTGAATCCAAGCTTTTTTTAGAGGAATTATGCGGAGGCGTGTTGTGGAAAACAGCTGGTTTGCCACATAATTAGCATTCCCTAGATGATGGTGGGCGGGGAGAGAGAAAGGGGGGGGGCGAGGATGTTGATTGAGCAGGGAGGAAGAAATTAAGCTGATGTTTTTGGAGGCTGCATATTGGTGTGAACACAACTTACAAGGTGAACCTGTTTTTCCTCTATCCATCAAGCTGCCTGTCATCCTGGCATTGGAAACATTCCCCCCACCCTTTTTTTTTGGTTCTTTTTGAGCTCTGTGCATTTCTTCATTAGGATTTTCATCTGGTGTTAGCAGTAAGCCTTTGTAATTTGCACCTATTGAATGTGATGCCATGATGTTTCAAAAGCCACACTGCCCAAATTTAGTTCTTATCACAGTGGAGCGTGACAAATCTTTCTTGCCCCAAGATTCTTTTTGCATACAATCGTTCCTGCTCCCATCAAGTCATGGGCATTGATCCAGACATGAGAAACAGGGAGAGCCCCTAGCACATGTCTGTCAATTAAGCCAGTGTTGGAAACCCAGTTAAGTATTAACTGGAAACTGAGGCAAGGATTTGTTTCAGGTAGGAATTTTGAAAAAGCAAATTAAGTTTTGCCAAACAACATCATGTTTGAATCCTAACCGTCTTGAAAACAGAGAATAAATATTATTGGTCGATAATTACGCAAAAATATCTGGAGAAAACAAATACATAAATTAAAATGGTAGTTCTGAAATGACAGATTTTAACACAAGCTTTTAGTGGTTTCATTTCTCCAGGTAACAGATACGAAAAAATCCCTATTTTACCAATTGTTCTTCCAAAATATTTGGGCTTCAGGATTAGGTCACAAATCTCAGTTTGTGCCTCTGTTCTCATATAATCTCAATGCATATTCCAAGTAGTGGAGTAGCTGGGTCATACGGAATTTCTATAGTGGCAAGATTTAGTAGGGCAGCAAGTAATTGATATTGGAGAGGATATGGCGAGAAAGGAACTCTTACACATTGTTGGTGGGATTGTAAAATGGTGCAACCACTCTGGAAGGAGTTTGGTGTTGCCTACAGTGGTGGTTCTTGAAGGCTTTTTGAGTTGCTCAGCTAACTGAGTAAAGTCACGTTCACGTTCATATTCTTCAGTGAGTGAACTGTTTTCAGTTCATTGTAAAGGCGTGAATTTCATGTAATCAGAGAAGGGCATGACCTTTCAAATACCCTCAGCAGGCTACCTGCTCCCCAGGATGGCCACCTGTTGTTATGGAGAACCAACCTTGTCACCAGGCCCCTGCCCTGGACAGGAAAGAAAAAAAAAAAGTTTCCTCTAGGATCCCAACCTGAGATGGGGAGTCAGGCCACTCAGGTGTTCTCTTTGGAACGCAGTTATACGCGTCCTCGTTGGTGACTGCAGGCTGACATTGCACGCCGTCAGAAGATAACTCAGCTCTGTATCCTCCGCTGTGAGCCACCGGCGTTAGGAAGGTGTCGGGTTAGCTGGCACCACAGCACTTTGGCTGCTGTTTATATGTTTGTTCTTTTGTTTTCCCTCACCTGGCATATCAGTGACACTAGAATTATTGACTTGTTTTGATTGTCACAGGAGAGCTTAATTATTCATAAGTGCTAGGCTGTCTTCTTCTCTTTGGCTTTGTACTCATCTCCTTTGGGTTTTCCCAGTGCTGTGTTCCCAATACCCAGCTGTCTGGGTCTCCAGGCACTATAATTAAAACCACTCTGTGGCTCACAGAAAGGGAGCGAGTAGCCTCAGTCTATTATCCTTGAACAGGATGCCTTTTTGACAAGAGAAGGCCTCACAACACCGAGACGTGATGCGCTCTGTTCAGGAATTATAAACGTGGGGGGAGCTTAGACCCAGCTTCCTTTCTTGGTTCCAAGTTGTTGCATTCCATTCATCACGTCTCCACTTCAACAGCCACAGGTGTGCCAGCTCCAATTCTGACTTGACAAAGGGCTTGATTTTCCCTTTTTACACTAAAGCCACTGAACCTTCCTCTGAGTCCACTGGGCACGACCCAATTGTCCCCGGCGCCCGTGTTTCAGAATGACGGAATGTTCTACTTTCAGCTGGGTGTTCGCTGGCCACGTGCTGCTTATAATCAGGAATGTGCAAGAGTTGATGGAGTGTGTAAAAGTGCAGACATAGAATATTTTGCCCTACTTCATTCTCATAATTTGTCCTTTGTTTTTTGAATTGTGATTTTATATACATATATACACACACACATATATATATACATATATATACACATATACACACACATACATATACTGTAAAAGATGCCACCATTTTTAAGTTTGCCGTTCAGGAGCATTAATTTTATTTACCATGTTGTATTTCCAGTACATTCACCTTCTATTTATTTCCAAAACACTTTCATCAACCTACACAGAAACTCTGACTCTGGTAATTAGTAACTCTCTCCTTTCAGCCCCTCCCCGTCTCTATAAATCTATTTCCTGTCTCTATGGATTTGCCAGTTCAGGACATTTCATGTAAGTGACAAACTGCATTGGGAAAGTCAGCTGTCAGGGACTTCTCCAGAGTACTGAAGAGCAGTGGCATCAGGCTGGAGAGTAAGGTGCGATGAGATGGATCGATTCAGTGATTGGGATAATGGGAGTAGGTGTGTTGGAGTCAGTGAGGTTGGCACAGGATAGAACAGGGCTTAGGGCTCTTGTACACAGGGTCGCAATGAGTCGCAAGAGACTCGACAGCACATAACAACAACAACAATGAAAACAACAGCAGAGTCATACAATGCTTGTTCTTTTGTGTCTGATACTTTTTACTTAATATAGTGTCCTCAAGATTCATCTGTGTCACAGATGTATCAAGACTCCGCTCACCTTTATGGCTGAATAATATTCTCTGTGTGTGAACTACATTTTAATTATCTACTTCCCTGTTGATGCAGCTTTGGATTGTCTCCAACTTTTGAATGCACGTTGCTGATTGCCCGAGTTGTTTCTATGTTGCCTGCATTTGAACCGTACTATTTAACTGATTTAACTGTAATCGGCTGCTTCAGACATGTTTTCATCACGAAAAAGTTCATAAGGAAAATAATGCAAACATCTTCAAGGGTTATGAATTTTTGTTACTAGAGGTAGGAATTCTGAATGTGATGTAATACGTTATACTTATCCACAATACATCCCTTCCTGCCTTGATGCCATGTGGCAGGCAGGAGGGGCACAAGGCAGGCAAACCCTCTGCTCTCAAAGAGCTTAGATTTACTGGATGAAATGTTCTTATATTTCATATTGTAAAAGAATTCTGAAGAAATAATAAGGGTGATATTATAGAAAAGAGAGGAAGGGGAAACTTTAAAAAGAACAAGGTCAGGGAAGAGTTGTCTGGAATTGCCCTTTGAGCTAAAACCTAAAGGTACCAAAGAGCTCGCCCTTCAGGGAGAGGTGACTCCAAACAATAGATAAAGACCTCGAAGGCGCAGACTCGGGAATGTGGAAGTGCTGAGATCCTGGAAGCCAGTACCGCTAACACAGAGAGCATTTGTGCTCTTGCCGCTGGGTTGGAACCCGCTGCTACCTGACCAATGGACTTCAGAGACTGTAAATCTCAAGGCAGGAGACTGCCCCTCTTTTTTGCCTTGGACTGAGTCACGAGTGGATTCGAACCTCCAGAGAGGCAGGGCTTTTTGGTTGGCCGTGAAAGTGCCTGCTGGCTACACCACTAGAGAGCATGAGTAGAAACAGCAGGCAGGTCTGGAAATACAAAGAGGGCAGCAGATTAAGCTGTATCTTCCCAGCCAGGCAGAGGTGCTGAGCTTTGTTTTAGTAGAAAAGAAAGTCAGGGGAGGCGATTAAGTACCAACCTGAGTCAATTCTGATTGCTCTGTGGTAAATGAACTGTGAAGAAACAAGAGCAAAACCATGGAGGCCACTGCCAATAGAGAGGTAAGAAATGGTCACTTGGCAAGGGCAAAGAAAGTAGGGGGTTTAAGAAATTCTTGAGAACTTGGGCATTAGAGCTCATGGGACTTTGTCGGTTCCTAAAGATGCTCAGTTTACAATAAGAAACCTAATTTCCAAAGAGAGAAAGTAACTGACCTAGTAAGCAGAGCTCCTCCCTTCGTGGTCGTGCTTCTCAAACGTCAGCATGAAGGAGATCTGCTGGAGTTTTGTGAAAATACAGGATACTGCCTCCTACCCCAGCCTCTCTGGCTCCACAGCAAGGGGAGAAGAAGATGAGAATTTGCCTTTGCGAGAAGTTCTCCCTAATGCTGAGGACCACGTTGTGAGAGCCGTTGCCTGTTCTACTGCACTTCACCTGACACAGGGAGGCTGAAGAGTAAACTGCATGCATAACCAGTCTTCTCACTTCCCTGAAAAGCTAACAGCTTGCTTTCATATTAGATAACATAGTAGCCTGTCTACTAGAGAAGAAAAGGAGTGGTGAGTTAATTATCTTTGAAAAAGAGAAAAATACGCATAAAATGGATTCTAATTCACTTATAATTCCTCATTGTCCCATTTTATTGTGTCTGTGTAGATATTTTCATTTTGCCCAGATAGACCAAAAGAATTATAGTCATCACTTCGAAGAATGAGGTGTGAACTGAAGAGCCTGATTGGAAATACCCTTTGTACAACTTCTCTTCTATATGTAGCAAGTGTTAAGAGGGTAGAAACTATCTCGGTCATTAGGAAACAGTACATTTGGTCAGTGATAATGTGATGAGAAGCCCGCGATTCCAGTGCATCACCTGGTGAGCTGCTAACCAGCTCATCAGTTTACCTCCACCAGCTGCTTCTTGAGAGAAATAGCAGGAATCTCGTCCTGTAAGATGGACAGTCCCAGGCCCGGGAGAAGCTGTGTGGCTGCTGCTGGCAGTAGGATTGGTTTTGCTTTTACCTTTGT